AAGACAATAATTTGTAGTAGTTATTTGTATGTATTTCTATTAATTAGGCCTGTTAAGGTAGGGAAGGAAAGTAAAATAATACTACTTAGTAATAGTATATATATATATATATATATATATAACTATTATTAAAAAATAAGCTGTATGTACTGAAAGTGAACCAACAATAGAATTTCAATGTGACAAAGTATTTTTGTTATGCTTGTAATTTGGGTGCAATTTGATGAGGGGGTGGGAGGATTTCCTTGACTGCTTTTTTCATCCACGGGACTGCACATTCATTTATCATCCTGGGGGGGGGGGGGGGTAATTTATTCCTGCTAATAAAAAAGTTAACACTCCCAATAAAAAAATATATGTATTAACATATTATATATATATATTACAATGTGTATTTTTTACTAGTTGATTCAGCATAAATGAGTAACTTATTGATCATCTCACTGTTTAAAGTGTGTTGTACAGATGTGTCATGGCCAGCTGATATGTTTTATTCCTTGGATATTTTATCCACTCCACTGAAAATTTGACAAATCACATCCTGTGTATACTTTTTTATTTACTTTTATATATATATATTAAGGGGAAAGTTTGATGAACAAAGCTTGCATAAGGAATGGTGAGGGCTCACAAGTTTTTTAAAAAAACTCCAACCTGTCAGTTCTGATGAAAAATTATGCATTTTAATATAATACAGTTGACAGCATAACATTTGTTGTTAAGCAATTTGCTAATATATAAATAGTGTTTCAGTTTCTATAGTATGTGAATCAGATTGTTGAGAGCTATATTTCTATCTCGTAATTTGTTAGCTAGAGGGCCTAGAAAGTTCTAAGTATGTGCCATCAAATTTTTTCTCAGTATATTTGAAGCTACCTTATAAATATGAGATAACTGTGCCCTGTTATTTTTCAGAATAGAGTCTTGAATAAGTCATTGTGTTTGTGAAGTATTTGGATCTGTGTTAACTAATATATATTGAGTTACTTTGTATAAGTAAGTTGAATTTGTTTACATAAGTGTAGTACAGTTTAAATATCATTTGTAACACATGTTCTACAGCAACTTATGACAGTTTACAAATGTTCAAGCTTGTGAAATCGCAGCTTATGTGAAATGGATGTTGACACGTCAGGTTCTTCATGGCCAGTGTACACCTCAAGATGGCCATGACTTGTGGCTTGAAATATGTCCAGGCAGCAATCGAACTTCACCCAGAAACGTATCAGTAATCATTGCAATTGTATTAATTTTTCAGACAATTAACATTACTATTTCCTTTACTTTTGTATTATAGACAATTTCCTTCACATACTCTACATCTAAACTACCATGAAAAAGCTTCAAATACCAGTCTCCCATGTACCCATGATGCAACTGTGTACTTGGTGTGGTACCTATTTTATTCAGTGAAGAGAGTCCTGTACCACATTATCAATAGCACAAATGTAAGTAATATTATGACAATAATGAAATTATTAATAACTTGTCTATAAAAAAACTACATTTGGAGAAAGAATATGCCAAGACTTAGGAGGAAGAATTACTGGCCTCCAACCATGTAAGTAGTTTCCAAGTTGTTTAACAGAATTGTGTTCAGATCTGTTAAATATAAATTTGTGCACTTGTATTTTTGAATTGGAGTTAAATGCTGCTTCTTACTGTCATGATGAATAATTTATGTCTTTTTGCTAATATATGCCAAGATTATTAATTTTTCAATCTTCTTTATTGTAGTTAACTATAGGTATAAAAGTATGATGGTCAAGCAGAGAAAGTTGAAACTATTAATGTAAAAAAAATGTGTCATTTCACAGTGCAAAATTGTAATAATGTAGTGATACATAGAAGTCACATTCAGATGTTTTGTTACAAAAATATTTAATTTCCCTCTAGTGACAAGAGAAGCCACTTCCCCAGAAGAAGGATCTTCATTTACTATCTTAGATTTTGAAATAAAAAAAGAAAAAGATGAAGTACCAAAGGAAACTGGGGTAATCTATAGACTAAAAATTTTTACATTCTCTTAATATGGCAAAATACGTAGATGAGATCATTTATGCAGTGCTGAAGTTGTTGTTCATTATTAAAGTGGACTTTCAGTTTTTGAATAAGTAACGATAAATAGAAAAATATATTCACCTGTGAAAAAGAAGAAATAACTGTTAGATATACAGAACGGTTTCAATTTAAGTTTAATGCATGAATTTTGATTTTGATAGTTATATAGCATGAGTGTTAAATTTAGTTCTTTTTAGAAGCAATATTTTATCTCAGGTTTGTTTACATAACTTTATGAATCATACGTTGTGTGGTTCAATTGTTGTGAATTGGCGATTGTTATATTATTGCATCATGAAACTTTTGACATCAAAGAGTAATGTTTCAAAAAACTGAATTTATTGTGTACATATGTTAAGTTCTGACATTTCAATTTGATATCTGGACAAAATTGATAAATTTTATTTCGTATATGTTTTATTAACTATTGACTTTGTAAATACACTGGCAAAAATAATTATTCCTGCCCTATGTTCCCTACTTGTAAGATTATAATCAGCTAAATGTTCTTCTGAAAATTTTTGCATAATAAGACTCAAGCTGTACCCTTTGTTATCAAAATATCTAGTCTTAATCACAAACAGCCATATCTAACATCCATATGTTACTTCTCTAACCTCAAATGGTCACATTTCTCACAACATCTTTGTAAACTTTATTTCCTTATTTGTCAGCAATACTTTTTTATTGATCCTACAGTTCTCTACTGTATTTTCACATCTCTTTAATAAAGTTTTATTTTCAGTCTGTTTGTGAGAGACTTAAAATTTCTAAGTCTTTCAGGTAAGCACATATTTTTTTCCCTCTTGGTCATAGTTGGTTCCTTTGTTGAAGGAAAACCACAGGTTTAGTTTTCCTATTCTTGGGTGTCTCATCTGTGACAAACTGTACTCTTTCACTGGATGTAACATGCATATACACTGGTTTTATTGGAGACTTATTATGAGCCAATAATAGTTTTTATAAATCCAGTGGTGTTGGATTTATTTTGGTCTTCTTGTGTTGTTTTTTTTTGGACCAGATTTGAGGTTGGTGATTTCAACCTATCTGTATGAATTTCACCATTATTTAAATAGTTATATGTTTGGTATTTATATTTAGACATGGGCGTGTCCGTTTGAAATTTTTCTGATCTATTACTTGTCATGCTTTCATTGTTTTACAAGTAATTAACTGGTTTGACTTGGGGTCTACAAAGTTTAAGGATTGTTGAGGACATGCGGAGCTGACACAGATCACACAATTAACTAAGCTTATATTTTCCTCTGAGTTTTGAATATTCACTTATGCATTAAGATGTGAGTAGATCATCAAATCTTCCTCTATTTCAGAACAAAATTCATGCATTAATTCTGATGGGCTGACATACTAACATTATCACCTTGACCTATATGTTTATAATCATACATGAAGTGAATCCTCGTGCATGTTCTGTTTATGTATTACCTTGTGTGCTGTAAAACTTCTGAAGTTCTAAACAACTTACTACATGTGGTATGACTAAGCAACCAAATCTTGACTACAATAGCTTTGCAGAGCATGACATAAGCAGTGATATAAATTATAATTAGGTGCAAGATAAGACAAGAAACAATGGCTTGGAGTAGCAATTATTAACACCTTTATCTAAATAGAGCCTTGAACCAAACAGGAGTTCATTTTCACCTTGTAATAAACTTTTTCATACATCATATTTTGGCTATTATTGCATTTATTGCTCAGAAACTTCAGTTATGAATATGTGCACCTTGTTGATTACTGGCTTTTCCCTTTGTGCTCTTTTGGGGAGGAACCAGTAGAAAGTTGACCTGCTTGTTGTTCTAACAGTACCCTCAGTTTTAGTTAATTGTTTGGAATCAGAAATTAGTATTTTAATAACTGGGTGCTGAATGCATCAACATACTTAATATAATTCAGATATTTGTTTTAAAAGAACATTTTCTTGTTCTCTGAAAATTTTCTTTTTATGCTCTTTCTGCTTGTATAGCTGCAATTTTTATCTCGTATGTTTCTCTTGTGCTTCTTGAATGGAAGTTTGTGTTCATTGTGTTATTCTTTATTCCAAGGGTGCATTTTGGATATGTGGGGCCCTGGGCCAAATGGGATTGTGGAACAGCTGGGGCCCTGGGCCCTATACAATGTATTGTGTGATTTTTGGAGTTGCATCTTCAAAATACTCTTCACATCCCAGCAGTAAAAATTTGAAATAATTATAAAATCTGTCAGTGTTTGACTCAAAACAAAATGTAATTTTATTAATTTTTTACATAAAAATCACATTTCACATAGTTTAACTATCAATAAAAATCATCCTTTATCTGTATCATACAAAGCATAGATAAACAAGTGGTGTGACATATTTCAAAATCAGTGTTTGCAAACTTTTTGCATTGAAAATTCTTTAATGAGACCACCAAAGTCAATTTTTCAGTGTGTCATGTTCCATACTCATAAGTGTTAAAAAGCACAATCGGTCCTGTCCTATCGTACTTTGAAGGTAGTTCTTTATTAGCTTTAATTTGGAAAAGGAGCACTCTACAGTACAATTTGTGACAAACATGCAGAGATACAGATGTATATTTATCTCGACATTTGAAAAAGTTTCAATCCAGCATGAATGATGAAGAACATCTTGAGTTCAGCACTATCCTCAACTTGTGTATTTGATGATTCCATAGGATTTGCTGTAAGAACTGAGTTTAGGATAGTTGCAATGTACACAATTTCTGACTCAAGGCTTTTCTCCAGGTCATGTGGATAGCATTTGACAAGGTTAGCTGCGGCTCCTCTCAGCTCATTTGTTGGTAAATTGAGATGTCTGATAGAAATCCAGACCTTCCTAAAAGAACTTCATATGTTCAAGATGTTGCTTCAGTGCAGCACAAAGTTTATTGATGATGGGAAGGTAGTCACTCACTCTAAACTTATCTCTAGGTGACAGTTGAGCATCCTCCACCATGCCTGGCTTATCGTGGTGCTGTTTCTGCTTACAAACATGTTGCTTATCATCCTTATAGTTATAGTCACTATGACCACACTTTTAAACACCTCTCTTTCAAATTCATAAAACTGCAGCTATAAGTCTTCAACAAATTTTAAAAGAGACTCAAGTAACTGTACAGCTATGTTGAGTGACAGACCAGCTTTTGCAGCTGCAGATTTGTTTTGTAGAATCTGCCCAAAATTGTTAGTCATACTTCCAGCAAAATAGCTGTTTCAACTTCCTTAAACTGTTGGACAAGACAAGTTGCTTCAGCCCTGGTTTCAGTTGTTTGGTTGTCATCTGCTGATAACTCCTCTAACATTGGGAGATTTTCATTGTATCCTTCACTAAGAGACTTGACAGCATCACCCCATTCTGACCGGCATGTGTTTGTTAACTATCAAATTTTTATTCTTGTTATTTTGCAGTGCTTCATGATATTATCTCCAGTGATGAGTAAATGCCACAGGGTAAGCTAAACCTTCTATATTAGATTAAACAATGCCACAGCAGCAATGCAACTTTCTACTGCACATTTGCCAACGAAGTTTAGAGAATGACCCATGCAAGGTACATACTGAGCATAAGGACACTCATCTTTTATGTAGCTCTGTGCAGCATGATACTTGCCAGACATGTTACTTGCATTGCCATATGAATGGCCACGGCAATCTACAATGGGTATCCTCTTCTTTTGGAGAAACTTCAGAACAGTCTCAACTATTTTCTTGCCTGTGTTAGTGAGCATGGGTATGAACTTCAAACGTTGTTCAATTGGGCCTGTTGGCAAGACATAGCAGATGGTAAAACTCAGTTGGTCAGAATGAGATGTTTCAGGTGTAGAATTTACAGAAATGGAAAAGTACTTTGCATTCTGAACTTCATTTCTGATTGCAGACAAAACTTTGTCGGCCATCAGTTGAATAAGTTCTTCACAAATGAAATGTGATAAGTAGGATATGTGTCCATTACCTTTATTTGCATATTTATTGATATGTGCTGTCAAGAAGCTGTCATAAATACTTAAAAGCTCCAGAATGCCAAGGTAGTTACCATTATGCACAGAACCAATAAGTTGATCTTTACCACGAAGAGCCAGTCCTCATTCACAAAGAAACTTTAAAACATCCACACAACACTTCAGCACTTGCCGCCAGTAGAAACATTCAGTTTCATGTTGTTCCACAAGACATGCACCATTTCAAGTACTTGCAGACTTTTGAATTGTCAAATCAGCCATTGCTTTTCTATGCTGATCTGACCTGCCATGTGATTCGATGCAATTCATGGCATGCTTCCAGTCATTGAAGCCAGTTGTTAACAGACTCTCAGTATTTGACATTAGCTTGCACTTAAAACAATAAACTTGACCAGTAGTCTTTGAGTGTTGCAGCCATGTAAGATCAATCTTTTCTCCAGATAATGCATGTGTACAGCTAAATAATGCTTTTGTGCAATAACGTGTTCTGCCCAGCTACTTCACAGATGACTCTCTGAAGTCTCCATTACAGTGATGACATTCTAAGTTCCCTTTTTCTAACCAAAAGCTGCACATGTCTTCATCTAACTTATTTGGTCATAAACCAAGATCATTGTCTAACTCCTGTAATCCAATTCCAACTTCTGCTTCTTCTTTTGCTTCTTCAGCTTGGACTTCAGTGGGTTCATCTGATGCACCAGTGTTAGTGTGCTGCTGATTCATATCAGTACTGGTACTTTCCTCTCCAGGATCAGAATGAGATTGAGATTCCACAGACACAGAAACACTTTCAACTTGTAACCATTGTGTGATTTTGGGCAGTTTTATGATCTTTTTTGCTTCTTCTGTTTTTTCCTGGTTTATATTTCCTTCCTTTATCACGGTCATGGCTTGTTCTATCCATTTCAGATTGCTGAAAAGTAAAAAGTACAAGTTATAAATATATTAAAAAATTTAGATAAATTTAAATT